ATATATATATATATAACTTATATAATTACAGTGTCATTCTCATAAATATTTATATTCTTTTAAAGCCATACAGTTAATTTAAAATCAAAAACAATAAAATCATGATAAACCGATTCAAACTACCGTAAAATTCGGCGTATAACGCGCACTCATACTTTCAAGCCGCAATTTTTAATTTTTAGGTATATTCGCCGTATAACACGCAACCCCTTTTTTACAAAGGAATCAGAAGTGGGCGTACACAATGCTCGTATTTATTCGAGTTATTATTCCAGGATTTTTTTTTAAAAAAATGGTTTATTAGAATCAGAACCCTTTAACTTCTCATTAGAGAAGAGAGAGAAGAGAGAGAGAGAGGTATGTATATGTCATTCCTTTCAAATACATAGAATTCCAATCTATGTAGAAGTTTAATTTTTCTTATTCTCATCTCCTTTTTTATTTTAGAAGCTATCATTTTTATACCTGGCGTATAACGCGCATCCTTAAATTTCGATATCATTTTTTGTGTTAAAAGTGTGCGTTATACGCCGGATTTTACGGTAATTTTTGAGCACAGTTAAAAGCCTAAACAATATACTCTATGCTCGTTAGGACCAACCTATTTTTTTCTAGTGCAGTACGAATTTTGTGCATTAAGTAATATCCCACACATTTTCCCAATCATATTTTCAATCTTTAAGTGAAAAACTGTAATACATTTTTCTTAACTTCAAGGGCACTGATTGATAAACAATTATTTGTGCCATCGCCGTATTAACTAATAATCGCATATCACCTTGGAATACTGATAAAAAAATATTCAAAGTTTGGGTTCCATTGAAAAGAATCGTTTAGTAATTGGGATTCGCTGTTGTTACACAAAATAGATAAAAGATATAAAGAACACACACAGTTTTTTTTCTCTCTTCCTTCTACTTATACTGGCAGTTGTGCTCTGGTTTCGAGAGAGAGATCGAGATATCTAATTGTTCTACACATAAACATTGCAACTCAAGTTTCAAGGTTGATGCTCTTCCGCTTCCTATGAGAACCATCTCTTTTTAAATGATTTACAACTTAATCTGCGAATAACTTTGTTTTAAAAATGAGTTAACATTTTGAAAGTAGCCATTTTTACAACGAAAGTGGCCTTCAATTAAATAGAAGTCTTTGTTAATGCAACAACAGATTTTTAATCATCATATCAAAGTCACCGGTTGTTTTTTGCCCTGCTATTTCTTTCCAATCTCATTGTAACCCTCTAAAATTAACAACAATTGTACGTTTTTTTCGTTTGTTAAGCAAGTAAATTTACGTTATACATTATAGATTAACAAATGGTGGAGGGTTTGATTTATAGAAGCGCAACTTTGTTTTCTGAAAGTAAAAAGAACTCCAATTACTGATTAATCTAAAAGTTTGAAATAAATTGCTTAAATATTCCAAAATATGTATGTGACCTTTTAATATATAAAGAGAATAAAGCAAATTTAAAACCTTATGGTTTCGAGCAAAATTTGAACTAAACTAAGAAGCGTTTTGAATAATAAAAAAAACTGAGAAAATGGAATACAAAATCAAAAGAAAGCCCCATTCTGAAGTTCCAAGTTCATTAATACAAAAGACATTAGATGACTTAAAAATTTTCATTGCTCATTGACAGACTCGTAGAGTATGAGTTTTTTAGATGGAAAACTTTATTCTACGTGTCCTCCCACATAAATAATAATAAATTTAAAAAAATAATGTGTTTTAAATACAAATGGAAATTATGAAATGATTTTTATGAGAGGAATCGAGAGAGATTGATATTCTTATTCCAAGTTAAGTAAATCAATTTTACTCAAGGTTGATTGAAGGTCATATAAACTGTAGACTGTATTCTAATGCTAAATATATCAATAAATCACAAAGGACATTTTAAAACGATCTAAGTAAAAATTCCTTTTTATGCAAGAATTCTGAAAATTAATTAATATTCAATCTTAATTTAAAACATACGCACATCGTACACAATTGAGCATTCCAATCTCTACAATGTGCAGTATTATACATTTTAAAAATTATGAAATCCCAATACACATAAATCAAAAAAATCGATTGTAAGCAATCCAAAACTTAAATCATTTCATGCTATGGTTGTATGACAATTATCTCATCGCGCTGTTCAATAACTTCGAATGTTTGTAACAATAACAGAAGCACGTGCTGAAACGTCAAATGTGACCTTATGAAAATGGCACCGTCAGCAACTTATCTGGCATGCTGCCCTTGTCATGTGAAAAAGTATGACGAGCGACAGTTTAATTTAAGAACGGTATGCTTCCCTTTCCGATCCGGACCCTGAGAAAATAAATAGTAGTAGGGTCGCCGTAACAATCAAGGATGATATGGTAGATCCCTCATGTAGCGAGTGTAAAAATTCATTTCATAGCATTTGTCTACTTCCGCATTTACTTGGATACTGTCCAAAATATTATTGTTAACATTTTGCCGGCGTGTAGAACCGGATTGACAAGTATAACTTAATATGTTTTAGAGACGATAGGTAATTTAAAAACAAAACAAAATTGGAATGGAGAATTGGCATGTTAAGGAAAAAATTGCGTAAATAAAAATAAATTTTTGTCACTTTTATCGAAACTGATTCGGATTTAAAAGTTTAAATTTGCTTAAGAGAAGATTCCATTAAAAAGGAAAGTATTTTAAAATTACATGATGCTTGAAAGTAAAGATTTTTTTTATTTTGCACTTATACAGTTAATAACTAAATTATTTTAATATACAGATTATAAAAAACTCTACGTTCTTTTATATCTAAAAAACTCAAAAGCAGAAATTATCTATATGAGCCCGAAGGTGAAAATTATACGGAATCAATACGTGATGATGGAATTGTATGGCAATAAAAAAATTAATACTAATATAAAACAATATTTTACTTCCAAAATGTTACTAATCGCCGAAATATATATTTAGGAAGACAAATATGGCAAATATTAAATGGATTACGAGAAGGAGCTTAGGTGCAAGAATTTTTTGGGATTTTAAACGCTTATATAGTAATAAATTTCAGATAAAAAATTCTGTATAGTGTGATATTATTTTATATTATTAATAATGAGATTTACTTAAATAATTGAGATATAATGATTAGATTGTTCATATGTAATAAAAAACTCGGACTAAATTTCACTGGAAAAGTTAAAAGTTTCATTTTATTTATCACATAAAAAATATTAATTGTATTACACATCTAAAAAAAAATCTTTAGTTTTTAAACTTCAACAAATCTTCTAAGTAATTAGTTAATTTGTAATAACATCGCACGAACATCACTTTGGCCAAGAACTACCTTCTCTCGAACCATTATAGAACGATGATATATACGACACCTTAATGCAGTGCTTCTCAAACTTTCATTATTTGCCACCCAATTTTCAATCATAATTTTTCATCGCGCCCCCTTCATACAATATCAATGTACTACTGAATTCAATAATAATATACTTTGACGCTAAAGCTAGAGCATGACTTTAATTATAAACCCCGTACAAATTAGTATAATAAGTATTAAATTTTGTATATAATTTTATATATGACAAGCCAATGTGTATCTGGGGGGGCCACTGGTAATTATTAAACTTGTTCTTAACTTAGTATTGTTAAATTAATTATTAAATACATTATATGCAATACTGATTGATACATTTATATCAGTGTAAATGTTACTTTTTATTTTTTTATTATGTTTTTCTCCCTTTCAGTAAATTGATAATTTTTTTAAATAATCTTTTGTTTTCGATGTTTCGATATGCTCGCAACCCTCACGTAGGGTTATCACGCCTCCAAGAGAGGGGGGCATACCACAGTTTAAGAAACGCTGCCTTAATGCATTCTTCGATTAGATTTACCCGCCGTGTGAGGATTCAGTGACCCAGTTGGTTTATCGTGCGGAAACACATTCTCTTATTATTTCCGCACGACACAACGGCTCTAATAGAATCACATCTCAAAATCCACCGTCCAAATTGCTGATTGACTGATGGATAAATGAAATAGTAAAATCGCACTTTGAAGAAATAGGATGGCTATTGGGGACGGAACTCATAACTTTGAATCAGTCAAGTGACGAGGACACAACACCTATATATATATAAGCTGATATCCCACTCTCTCCAAACTTCAACACCACGCCAACGGAAGATTTCGAATCACGGCAAATTTAACGTGCATCAGTCTCTCAACATTGTGGATTATTAACTCTAGAACTTACACTTAGGACTTGATAGAGTCCTCGGCCACGAGTTTACACCCATGACCATTTGGCTACCGCAGCCATTTCTCAATATTGCAATTGCAGTACATTTTATTTATTCAGAGATGAATAAAATATATTTTTAGCTTTAAAAAATATAATACACTGATATTTTCCCATTGTTTGCATGTAAATACAATTATTTTAACTCGAGGTTGGCGTTTTTCTGCCGAGTTGCGAGTGTCCCTAAAGAACTGTAATTTAGAGGGTTTTCTTTTTTCAATTTGAGCCTCGGTAAACAAGAAGTAATCATGGTTTTGCCCCACAGAACTTTTGCACGCTAAATCTTTTGAAGTTTAAAGTCTTCCCGTTGGAAGCTTAGTGAAAGGGTTGCAAGTTCAAGTGTTATCTAACCGTGTTTTAGAATTACGATGCTATTGGTTGGAAGTTAGAGGACCTTAGATATATAAGAAGTAATATAAAAAAAATTAAGTCAATTCCTACTGAGGTCAACAAAGAAAAATTTTATTTTAGTTACTTTTTATTAAATAGTTACAATTAATATAAATATTTATATACATATGACACAGAATCACACTATTAAGTGACAAAATAGAAAGCGATTTTACTAGTAATTTTCCATTTTCCTTTCTGTAAATGGTCTTAGACTATTTTTTGTTATACTATTTATACATTGATTAAATTTAATTATTCTAATAAAATAGTATAGTAAAAAAAATCACATACCCAGAAATTAAGCCATCCCAGGTGGGATTCGAACCCACGACATTGGATTAGAAGGTCAACGCACTATTCATTGCGCTACAGGGACACAGCGAACGATTTTCCTTTCTATAATATGCTGTTGGACTATTATTTTTGTTTGTTACTATTTATATATTCATTTTTTAATTTAATTAATAAATTAATATTCGAATAAACTGTATTAACATCAAGTGCCATTCACTACTAGTTTAAAAAATGTATTTGAACTTGGATGGATGAATAGAAAGTATTTTATTAACGATTGAAAATTTGAACAAGATATATATATATGTAAATAAATAAATATAGGGAGAGAGTGAACTAATTGTAGGAATTGAAAAAGGCAACCGAAAAAATGTTCAATAAACGAGCTTTTTTTTTTAATTCTAGTATATCACATTTCGAAATAAATTTACTGTCTTAAAGATATTTTTAGAACAAAACTTAAGAGCTCACTATTAAAAAAAAATGTTACAAATAATTCTCATGAAGTTAGCAGTTTGTAAATTTACATCAGTTGACTAGTTTACAGAAAATTAAGGCTGCCTTCGGTTAGTGTTAAATAGTTTTTTCAGTTATAAATTAATAGAAACATTAATATTCTATTCTGACTTCACTATTCTATAGGAAACAACATATCATACTTCTTATTTTTACCAGTTTATCCGTTTTTTCTGGGGAAAAATGCGTTTCTCATTTATTTTCTCCTATATCGTTGTGTTAAGTGAGCTATTCCTTTAAGTGCTTAAATCAAAAATTGATTATGGAATAATTTGAAGAACACGATATTGTAAACAGATGTATGCGTTGAGATGTTCCGAATTTTCATGAAAACTGAGACATTTTTCTATTCGAAAATATGCTTCGCATTTAGTTCGGCTCGCTCTCGTACATCTGGCCAAGACGGCTTTTCAAGACTTAGAAGCTTTCACGGAAATATTACTTATCTTGGAGTATTGGACTCTCATTGAACGTATATTTTTAAATAATTTAAATATTCCATTTTTCGGGATTTGAATTGTACAAGAAATAAATTGTAATTCAAAATTATGAACTGCGTACGATATATGATAAACATGTTAATCTGCACGAATGCGTATAGAATACAAATAAACTATTTTCTATAATCACGCATAGAAAAATATCATTCAAAAACAAATGGAAATATTACGTAAAGGAAATAATAAATGGCCATGTGCTGCGACTTTGGATTCTGAATAAGAAAAAAAGTATCGAACTGTTGGATAAATAAGAACATTAGAATGGAATAAGGAAATTTAAGGGCTTTTTAATGTTCCTTTGCTTGTAAAGATCCTGCGTTTTATTCCTTTTACTTGGCCTTGTAGCATATATTTCTTTTAACCTTTAATTATCCTTATAATATATATTAATTTGTTGATTATAAAAATGCCTTTGAATCCCAAATTGTTTGACTTAGATAGTTTCAAGCTGTCTAAAGCAAAAATTACATTTTTTTATAATGCTGATTTAAAGAAAAATAAGTATACATATGTGGTATGTTTTTCATTGGAATTACTTGTCATCTTTCTTTTAGAAAGAATTCCGCTGAGATCAAAGTATAAATAGGTTTTCAATGCAAAAGAGTTTTCTTTCTGTAAAGGAAGTTTTGAAATAATTGGCTGTTCACTAAGATAACTTTAAAAACTACGCTTCCAAAGATGGTTTTAGATTAATACTTCATTCACGGAAAATCTTTAAGAAAACTGAAAAAAATGGGAAACAAAATATGTTACTTATGTATTAACGTCAATGCAACCAAATTTGTGTCGTGTGAATCGTGCCATGAAACCATAACAGCAAAAGAGAACAAAAAAGGATTCTTACGCATGTGTTTTATTTGAAAAAAATCAATCAGTGAGAATTTGGTGGAAAATGGCGCAATTCGTAAGCCACAAATTGCCTGCAGTCACACATTGATACGTAATACCCAAACAATAGTTAAAATATAACTGTATTTTTCTATTATTCAGATTTCATTAGTTTCAGCTCAAAATTAATCGAAATCAAATATTGTATTTTTCTAACTGCATGCAATAGATTCAATTTAAAAAGCATTACTTCTTTATTGTCAATTTTGCTTACTTATCACAAATATATGCTAGCTTTCAGCTAGTTTCTTTAATAGTCTAATTTACTAAATCGTGTTTGAAAACTATAATATTATATAATGTATTAATATAATAATTATAGAATATATTCGATCAAAATAACTACTAAAAAGGCATATAAAATGTTAATAAATTGTAGCTAAGAATAAAAACGTACAAATCTCTATATGATTGATATCTGGTTTGGTAAAATAAACAAAACCTTTACCATATTTTAGTCCTTTTTTTTTTCTTTGATAAAAAAAATGGAACCGCAAAAGATTAGTTGTTGCACTGCTTACTCTAACGACTACCTATTTCTGCCCCATCGCAAACAAAATGCCACTTAATTCATAATCCCGGTCGAATGACAAGATTGACACCTGAGCTGGAACCCTTTTTTATATATACATACATCACGACAACGTAAACACTTGGAACTTCAAAAGTTCTAACGAACATCAGACTCTTTACAAAGAAATAAGAATTCGAACACGCGTTTCGACACGATTTCAATTTTGGTTAACTTTTTACATTTACTAAACAGTTGGCTATTAGAAACTGATTTCTATTAAATTATATTAAAACAAGCAATTAGCGATGAATCAAGCAAAAAGAAACGGCATTGGTTAGGAGAAAAGCACTTTGTGTTTAATTCCTGTCACATGAAATCATTAAGATTAGTTAAATTTGATGTACATCATTCATAAATGTTCCACTACGTGGTCACGTGAGAAATCAATATAATCATCAGCGATACTCTGTTTACTAGCTCACAATTAGCATTTGGACCAAAACCAAAGCAAGGGGTTAATGAGTGAAAGTTTATGAACGTCACGCTATACAGCAACACTACGTCTATTGGCAACGGACCTCGTAATTTTATACCTCGGTCAAGTGACGAGGACGATACCTGAGCTGACACCCCACTCTCCAAATTTCTAACACACCAAAGTGAAGACTTTGAGCCACGACGGATTGAACCTGCATTCTATCTATCTACACGGTGGGTCTTTAGCGGCATCAGGACTCGAATTTTCAATTCGACAACGCCAACCACAAATTCATGAACATGACCGTTAAGCAACAGTGGCCACAAAACAACAGTCCGAAAAAGGATTTTACAATCTGAGATTTAGAATGACTTACATGCATCCAATAAGTTATAGTAATATTCCTCATATTTGCCATAAGAGTATTCTACAAAAGGATTGCTTTCGAATTATTGTTACATTCTGAAGCACGAGAGTTACTGTGTGTGTGGCAACGAACCTCGCAATTGGTGAAGTGTGATGAAGACAATATTATAATACTCTCCTAACTTCCACACTATGAAGAATTTAC